ATGTGGCATTTAAATTTTAAATATGTTCAAAACTTTCAAAATTCATCAGGTAGCCATCAATAAAGTTGACAGTAAAATGATATTTTCTGTATGTTTTCATGCTAACTATATTATTTTGAAAGACTCATGTGTATGACAATGTGTGGGGGTATATGCACTATGAGTGAAGTCCTCACAGGTCTAGCAGAAAGCTTCAGATACCTCTGGAGCTGGAGTTAAAGGCAGTTGTGAGCTCTCCTACCTGGGCGCTCGGGCCACCTTCAGGTCCTCTGCTAGACCAGTGTATTCGTAACCACTGAGCCATCTCACTAACTACTTTAAGTTATGAAAAATATTGCTCTTTTTCTAATAGATGTAAGAGCATGACCAACATGTCCTGTCTGCAGACTTATGTTTTTTTTCTTGATCACAGATATTTAGCTGCTAAATATCTATTTGTAAATACAAAGACAAAATAATGTGCTAAATTATGTTGAAAATGCTGATTGAAAAAAAATGATAGCTGACTGATCGGATTTGAGATATTAATCCTTTGCCTCACCAATCTGATCTGCGAAGAAGTAGCTAGCTCAATGATAGGACACTTGTCCCACATTTGCAAGGCTGTGAGTTCAATTCCCGAAACTGCCCATTCCCTCAATTGCAGTGAAATTCACTAAGAACTAACCTGCTGGGGGCTGGAGGGATAGCTCAGGAGTTAAGCACACTCACTGGCTGTTCTTCCAGAGAACTCAGACTTCTTAGTGCCCATTGTTGGCCATCCAATTCCAGGGGATCCAATATTCCCTTCTGGCTTTCATGGACATTAAGTATGCATGTGATATACATGCAGGCAAAACACTCATACATATAAAATAAAAATTAGAAAGAAAGAGATGGGGGGATGGGGGGAGAACTAAGTTGTCTTTAGCTTAGGAAGCATTCTTGTGAGTTGGCCTAAGAATGGATTAACTGAGCACAGGGAAGAGAAGCACGCACAGGCTCAGCCTGAGTCCTGGCACAATCCTCAGAGTAAAGGGGAAAGATGTCAGAAATGCGGGTCATTCTATGCAGTTGTGTCATAGAGATCTGGTGATGTAGCTCAGTAGATACAGTGCTTGCCCAGTGTGCACAAGGCTCTGGCTTCAATCCTGCCACTATAAAAATACAAGCATGATAATGTGTGCCTGTAAGACCAGCACTGAAGCAGTAGAAACTGGAAGATCAGAGGTCCAGGTCATCCTTGGCTACACTGTGAATTTAAGACCAGCCAGAGATACATGAGACCCTGCTTCAAAGACAATGCCCAAACCAAACAGACTCAAAACAAACAAACAAACAAACAAACAAAAAACCCTAAAATGCCTTTTAGCAAGATCATTCTGGCTGCTTTGTAACAAATCAGTGTGGAGGCAGAGGGCAGAGGACCTGTGATGTTTGAGAACAACACTGGTGTCCTGCAGATGTTTCTTGCAGATGTTTCTGATCAAAGTAGTTTGTCCACGTGGCAGCCTCTGTGTGGCTTAGGTCATGACATGAGCTTAACAAAATCTGCCTGAGGTCTGATTCTGAGTCCAGAGCTGCTAGAGCTCAAGAGACGTAAAAGCTAGCAAAGTGTCCTCGAGAGCTGCAAGGGCCAGAGTCAGCCCTGCTGGCGAGAAAACCGGCTTCTCAGAGGCTAACCTGACGACACAGCCTTCCCAATGCTTTTACAAACGCTGTGAGGCTGGAATCAGAGCTTTCCCTGTATGTATGTGTGTGTATGTACATGCATGTGTGTGAGGGTATGTGTATGTATGTGTGTGTGTGTATGTATGAGTGTATATGTGAATGTGTGTGAGTATGGATGTGTGTGTATGTGTGTAAGTGTGTGAATGGATGTGTGTGTATATGTGACTGTGTGTATATATGAGTATATATGTGAATGAGTGTGTATATGTGAGTGTGTATGTGTGATTGTGTGTGTAAATGTGTGAGTGTATGTATGTATGCGTGTGTGTGTATATGTATGTGTGGGTGTATATATAGGAGTATATATGTGAATGAGTGTGTATATGTGAGTGTATGTGTGCATGAGAGTGTGTGAGTGTATGTGTAAATGTGTGAGTGTATGTATGTATGTGTGTGTATACATATGTGTGAGTGTATATATATGAGTATATATTGAATGAGTGTGTATATGTGAGTGTATGTGTGCATGAGAGTGTGTGA